ATTTTGGGTAGGCCATATATTCGAGGTGTTCTGGAAGACTTTTCACGAGGAATTAGAGATTGTTTTATGTCAACAGGAAGAGAGGTTTATTGATAATGGCTTTTGTTGTTTTCTCTAGATAGTTGTTGGATTATTAGGAATTGGTCTGTAGTCTGGAGTATTAATGAGATTTGAGAGTTTATTAATGTAAGAAGAAGTGTTTAGGATGACGGTGACATTGCCTTTATCGGCGGGAAGAATGACTAGATTTGGATTTGACTGAAGTTCTTTCAGGGCTTTTTCTCCGAATTGGCTAATGTTCGAAGTAGGAGGCTTTGATTATTTTAGCCTCTTCCCTCCTAATAGAACGAATAACTGTTCTAATAAATCAATGCTTGTTAACTTTGAGTACCATATGAGATGGAAAAGCGCTCAACAAGTGACCATCTTTAAAAAGGGAAGATCCCGAAAAGATCCTAATTGCTACAGAGAAGTATCCTACCTACTTTCGGAGGATTGGAAAGATAATAAATGGAAAAATACAAGATGATATAGGACATCTAATTAGCGAAGACCAAAGTGGATTTACGCCTGGTAGATCTTGCACTGATAACTTGTTTATACTCGAAAAATTAATAGAAAAAAGAATAGCGGTTGGTACCGAAGTACATCTAGCCTTCATCGACCTAGAAAAGGTATATGATGCAGTTCCAAGACTTAAATTGTGGCAAGCTTTACAACAACTCGACATTAGTCGATACCTTTTAGGAATAATCAGAGAAGTGTACAGGTATAACACTACTTACCTAAAAATCGGAAATAGACTATCAGAACCAATAAAAGTAACTAAAGGACTAAGACAAGGATGCTGTATGTCACCCTTACTGTTTAATTTATATATTGAGGCAGCCCTCCAAAATTGGAAAAAACCACTGCCAGGGAATGGGAATCCCCATAGGAAATGACGTACTGTTCTCCTGAACTTTGCGGATGACCAAGTCGTCCTAGCTCAAGATTCTTATACAGTAGTAATACAGAGAATATGTAAAATGGGGGTTACAAGTCAGCATGAAAAAAAACAGAATATTTAGTTACCAATTCAGATGCAAGGTTTGAAGTATTGATAGACGAGGACGTGGAAATCAAACAAGTGGAAAAATTTAAATATTTAAGGTGCACTCATTGATAAGAAAACGAAAAAAATTAAACACCGAATTAATCAGGACGTAAAATTGTAGGATGTCTGAACTCCTTATGGTGGGATCGAAACATTTCCAAAAGGAACAAAAAAAGAATAGGGCAAACCATGGTTGAATCAGTTCTTGTTATGGTCTGAAGTATTATTAATGCCACCTGAAAAGGAAGACAACGAATCTATAAGAAATAACATGAATGCTACAGAAACGGTCATTGACAGAATAGAAAGAAGAGGTTTAAAATGGTTTGGACACCTATTGAGAATGCCTGACGAACGTTGGCCCCAAAAACTTCACAGATGGAAGCCCCCTGGAAGAAGAAAAAGAGGTAGACCTCGACGCTCATGGAATGAAGGAATTAGAAGAGCGATGGAATCGAGAGGTTTGGAAGGAAAGAGCATGCCTTGGACCGGGTGTCTCACGACGAGCTCAGACTATGTTTATATCGAAAACTACATATACGATATTTATAAAAATTATGAATGACAAAACAGCAAATTTGTTATTTTTAATGGAACACCCTATATATTATTGCATTTTTACAGTATGCGTAACATTCTGGATAAACTTTGTATAAGGTTCTGTAGGTCAAATTTTCGTTAAATTAATAGTTAATAACGCGGGTCAACTAGCGAAGTAAAAAAGTACCCATCCGTTACAAAGTAACGGGTATTTGTCTAACGTCTAACACTAAAAGTACCAACTCATCATTGTTAGAAATACTCCTTATTTTTGGTACAGATAACCAAGCCGTAGTAAACAAGTTTAGTATATAGTAAACTGATATATCCGGATGTCGACAACAAAACAAAACAAATTCTTTGTAGATTGGCATGCCAGTAATCAGCATTTCGAAAGATAAACCGAGGCGACGCCGTGTAATGTAAACAATTGTGTTCCATGCGAACGCATATTTTCCAAAGCCGGTCAAATAGTCACCGAACGCAACAGATTAAAATCAAAAATGTAGAAAATCTACTATTTTTACATTGTAATAACAATTTATAAAAATAAAAAACTTAAATTTTTTTTGATTTGTCGATTATTTTTTATTCTATTTTGTAAAAATAAAATAGTTTTAATTATATTTAATAAAATCCCAGTTAACCAAGCTTGGACTATATTTTTATATATTATATAAGTACAGAACACTATTACCATTACCTTTTAACTACTAACCACTAAAGTCACAAATATTGTACTCTAACTGAAGACTAAAAGTTCCGAAAGTAACGAGTATAAAGTACCCGATACTGATATTTAAAGTAAAGAATCGTTACAAATATTCAAAAGTAATGCAAATTTACAGTTAGTCAGAATTAAAAATTAGTCTGAGTGGTAGGAGGCTGGAAGAAAAAAAGAAATCGATCAATAAAACGAAGAAGAAAAGTACAATATTGAAAAGCAAGTAGAAATAAAAAATAAATATGAAGAAGAAATAAATTAAATTCTACAACAATGTGACCAAAATTTACAAACAGATCAAGCCTGGGAACAAATTAAATCTGCCGTAGGAGAAGCTAGCGAGAAAATAGTTAAGTGCGACTCCAAGAGAAGTACAAACAAAGATTGGTTTGACGAAGAGTGTCAGGCGATAGCAAAGGAAAAGAAGAAGATCAGACAACAAATATTAACAGATAATAGAGAGTGTAAAAAACAAGAATATAGAATAATTCGAGGAAGATTGAAAGCTCTGTGTAGAAGGAAAAAGAGATACCACAATGAGTTGAAATTAAAAGAGATAGAAGAGAAGTTTAAAAACAAAGAGGTGAGGTCGTTCTATCAAGAAGTTAAAAAGATGGGAAAAGGTTACCAAAGCCACTGTAGTTATATGAAAGGTAAAGACGGAAATTTAATTAGCGATCCGGCAGAAATAATGACGGAATGGAAAAAACATTTTGAAGAATTATTAAATGGTGAGGTGGACACGAAGCAGTAGACAACTGGACGGTTGAGAAGATGCGATAGTTGAAAGGCAGCCTACAGAGGAGGAGGTGGTGACAGCAATACAAGAAATGAAAAATAACAGAAGTCCTGGTAAAAATGACATATGCATAGAAATGATCAAGTTTGGTGGAGAACAACTACAAAAAAAAATATATCAGCTACTAGTGCAAGTATGGGAAAAGAAAATAATGCCATCGGAGTGGTAGGAGGCCCGCATATGCCCTCTGCATAAAAAAGGAGACAAACTGAAGTGTGACAACTATAGAGGTATAGCTTACTAGACACGGTATACAAAATCTTGGCAAGAATATTGAAGAAATAAACTAAATTGCTACACGGAAAGAATCCTGCATGAATATCAGGCCGGCTTTAGAAAGGACAGATCTACTGTAGACCAAATCTTCTCATTAAAGGAGATACAAACGACTTGTTATGAAGGTAAAGTTCCCCTGCATGTTTTGTTTGTGGATTTTAGACAAGCATATGATAGAGTCAAAATGTATCGAGCAATGGAACATTTGGGTATACCAAAGAAACTGATCCGGCTAGTTAAAATGACACTAAATAACTCTACGTGTGAAATTGCTTGGCAGGGTCACATATCAGATCAATTTACGGTTGCAAAAGGCTTGAGACAGGGAGATCCTTTATCCACTACATTATTCAACTTAGTGTTAGAAACTGTAATCAGAAAATGCAGCATGAAGGTGGAAGAAACGATCATGAAAAATGAGCACCAGTGCTTGGCATTTGCTGACGATCTAACGATCCTAGCAAAAACCGAGAAAGAATTAAGAAGAGTTGTGAAGAAAATCATCGAAGAAGCACAGAAATTCGGATTGGAACTAAATGAAGACAAAACCAAATATATGATCATGGGAGGGACAGAAGGGAAAAAAGAAGACTTTAGTGTGAGGTCTGTAAGTGGTAAAAGCTATAGTTTTAAAAGGGTGGACAAATTTGAATACCTGGGTGTAGTTTTCGATGAAAATGGAAAAGAGAAATGGGAGCTCGAAGCCAGAATAGCAAAAGGGAATAAAAAATTAGGTAGTTTAAGAGCCCTACTGAACTCAAAATACGTTTCTAGACAAGGTAAACTCAGAATATATAAAACAGTAATTCGACCCACAGTAACATATGCCGGTGAGACATGGACATTAAATAAGAAGGAAGAGGATACTCTGGAAAGATGGGAAAGGAAAATATTGAGACGCATATTCGGAGGACGGAAGACAGAAGATGGTTGGGAGAGAAGAACCAACAATGAATTAATGGCTTTATACAAAGAACCTACCATTACCAAGTTCGTCAAGTCACAAAGAATCAGATGGTTGGGACATGTGGAAAGAATGGCAGCAAACAGAATGCCTAAACTAGTAATAACCAGAAAATTAATCGGCCCCAAAAGAAGAGGTAGACCCAGAACGAGGTGGATTAGTAAAGTGGAGGAAGACCTTAAACACGTGAAGGTGAGGGACTAGAAAAGAAAAGCACAAAATAGAAGCCAATGGAGAAATATTGTTCACAGGTCCTTCAGAGTAGTTAAAAATGTTGTATATACATATTTAAGTTAAAAGTTTTGTTTAAAATAATTGGCCTGTTGTGCGTAAAAAATAAATTGCAAAGTCTTATATAGTAATAGACTAATTTACTAACGTATTTTAACCTTTAATTGTGGCTTATTCCTTATTTAAATAGTAATTACTTTAAATGCCACAAGAAAATAGCTTCAGGACGATATAAATTAAGTAGTTGCGTTCTATATTAGTTAAAAGTTAAAATAAGTGTTAGAATATTATAATAAATAAATAAAAACTGTAAATTAAAAGATAATAAAAAATCTCTTGTAAAGACATAATAGCTTACAATCAAACTTACCAGCATATCTAGATGAAACAGACAATGTGGGCGAATTTAAAGCAAGCTGTGAAGGACTCTGTAGAGGTGCATAGGGATGGGAGCTTGTCGGTGTAGAAGCATTCGAGGCTGTGGGACTGCGAAGAAAGTTTAGGCCCAAAAGGTCACTGCTAGGTTTTCCTAACTGTTGAGACACAGATTGTGATCTTTTCATAGCTGGATCTGTATCCAAATTTGATCCGCGTCTCGTAAAACTTCCCGTGGGAGACAGATAAAGATTCTCAACCGTTGCTCTTAGTTCATCAACAGAAGCAGACATAGGGGCAGATCCATTGTTCAAAGGCTTAATTTCTACATGTATTTTGCGTTCTCTCTCGTCGTCTGAAATTAAATATAACCACAATATATTAGATGATTAAATCAATTTATATAAAAAAAACGTACCCGAGTCAGAGTCAGATGATGAATAAAAACTTCCTTTTTCACCAGTCCAATTGTGAGTAACTTCGGGCCGTATTACATATCCATCTTCGTCTACTTCTTGCGTTGAAGTATCTGTTACTTCAGCAGTTCGCTGACTTTTCTGAGAATCATCCTTTTCCTCCCTGAAACAATTTACATATATTTGTGTACAGTTGTCTAAGTATAAGCATACAGTACATTCAACCAACTTACACCTCTAAACGATTAATGGAATTCGCAGAAAACCTTTCGTTGTAGTAAAAGGCACGGTAAACTGCACTGGTGTTCTCCATAATGTTTAACACTTTGCTAAATTTTAGGTATAAAATAAATGTGTCATTAACTCGTTGTTCATAGTTTTGTATATTTTGTAACATTTTTCTTAAATAAATAGTATTCTTGCATAATTTTATTGAACGTAAGTTTATTTCACCTACTTGTTTAATCATTTTTTCTTAAACAAATAGGACTAGGAAATAAACATCAAATGGTACATCACACTACACTACACAAGGACAAACAGTTTTCTTTCTTTCTTTCTTTATGTGGCCGTCTTCTACCGAAGGTTGGCGACCATCATACGATAGGTTTCTCTGTTTTGTGCCGCATGAATTATGTTCGCAGCTTCTGGTATTTGAAACCATTCTCTCAAGTTTCTCAGCCAGGATTTCTTCTTTCTGCCCAAACCTCTTCTACCTTCAATCTTGCCTTCCACGATAAGCTGTAGCAGACTGTACTTATCATTACGGAACACATGGCCCAGGTATGACGCTTTCCTCCTTTTAACAGTTGTTAACAATTCCACCTCTTTACCCATTCGTCTTAATACCTCTGTGTTGGTCACTCTGTCTGTCCAAGGTATTCTCAGTATGCGTCGATACAGCCACATTTCTAGAGCCGCTAACTTCTTTATAGTTGCTGCTGTTAACGTCCACCCTTCTACGCCGTAAAGTAGCGTAGAGAGTACGTAGCATTTCGTGGCGCGCCATCGGAGGTTAATGCTTAGGTTGCGGTTGCTTAAGAGCTTTCTCATTTTGATGAATTTGGATCTTGCTATTTCAATTCGGATCTTAATCTCTACTTCTGGGTCCCACTTGTCATTTACTGTATATCCCAGATATTTAAATCGGTGTACTCTTTCAATACGTTCGTCTTCAATATGCAGGTCGATATGTTGAAATTTTTTTTTACTGATCACCATAAATTTAGTTTTCTTTCTATTGATCTTCAGTCCAAATCGGCTGCCAGTTGTATTAACTCTATGTAGCATCATCTGTAAATCTTCGATGTTATCGGCCAGTATAATAGTATCATCTGCATATCGAAAATTACTTATTGGTACGCCATTAATCTTGATGCCCTCATTGTACTCTTCTAGTGCCTCTAGAAATATTTGTTCCGTGTACAGGTTGAAAAGCAGTGGCGAAAGAATACAGCCCTGTCTTACCCCTCTAGAAATGGTTATGTTTTCACTCACCATATGTCCATTCTTCATGTGGGCTGTTTGATTCCAATATAGATTTTTTATAATCTGGATGTCCTTAGTGTCAAGTCCTGAAAGACGTAATAGTTCTATGAGTTTGTCATGTTTGATAGTATCGAATGCTTTCTCATAGTCGATAAAACAGACGTAAACATCTTTCTGTTGATCCAGGCATTTTTGAATCAAAACTTGTATTGCAAAGAGGGGTTCTCGAGTTCCAAAACCGCATCTAAAACCGAACTGTGTTTTACTTATGCTGTGTTCTAATTTTGCTCGTATTCTGGAATGGATAATACGCAAAAATACTTTAAGGGTGTGGCTCATTAAACTTATAAGGCGATATTCACTACACGTCTTAGAATTATATTTCTTGGGAAGGGGCACAAATGTAGATTTCAACCAGTCCGATGGAATTTGACCAGTATCGTATATCTTATTAAACAGTTCCAATACTACATTCAGGTTGTTCTCGTTAAAAACTTTTAAGAATTCGACTGGTATTTCATCGCATCCTGTTGCTTTCCCATCTTTCGTTTGATCTATAGCTTTTATCACCTCACTTTTCAATATTTTTGGTCCATTCAGATCAAGAGTGTTCGTAGAAATATGACGATAATCCGTAAACAAATCTTTTATGTAGATTGCCCAAGTCTGTAACTGTTCTTCTTTATCTACAATAAGTTTATTGTTCTCGTCTATTAACCTACCAAACTGTTTTTTCTTGTAAGTATAAGTAAACTCCTTGATTTTTTTATGCATGTTAAAACTATCGTGTCTTCGTTCTAGCTCTTCTATCTCTTGACATTTTTCTTGCAACCATTTCTCTTTGGATTCTTTTATCTTTCTGCTGACAGTTCTATCCAGTTCTTTATATTGTTCGAGATTATTCTTATTTTCCCTCCTTCTGTCCATAAGGTGTAATATTTCATCTGTCATCACTCGTTCTTCTTCTTCCGCTCGGAGTCACCAATTACTTCTTTTGCACCGTTGCATATAGCGTCCCTTAAGTTGATCCAGTCTCTTTCAATATCATCAGTGTTGGTTGTTAAAGCAACATTACTATTAATGCTATTTGTAAGCTTGGCTTTTATCTCAGGATTTCTAAGTTGATCCATATCTAATCTTTTGTTATTCTGTTTCTGGATTATGGTTTTTAGTCTTACTCGTAATTGGGCTACAAGAGGATTATGATCAGAGTTTATATCAGCTCCAGGATATGTTTTGGCTGATATTATTGCGTTACGGAATCGTTTGTTAATTGTTATGAAGTCTATCTGATTTCTAACGATGTACCCAGACCTATCCTGTGGTGACTTCCAAGTGTACAATCTTCTTACCGGTAGCTTAAACAAGTATTTGTGATATTAAGTTTTTCTCCTGGTAAAACTGTATTAGTCGATCACCTCGTTCATTTCTTGTTCCCAACCCATACTTGCCAACTACGTCACTGACTTCGCCTTTTCCTATTTTGGAGTTGAAATCTCCCATTACCATGGTTATGTCTTGTTTCTTTAGGTTTTTTATGATGTCGTCTAACTGTTCGTAAAACTCTTCAACTTCTTCATCCGTACTCTCCGATGTGGGAGCATAAACCTGAATTATATTTATGTCTAGAGGGTGCGCACTTAGCTGGACAAACAGTTTGAACTTTTTAAAAAATAGGCGAAGCTACATTGTATACAGAAGCCGGAGACAGAATGGCTCACGGTCTAACGGAAATGTTGAGGTGACATGTGACATATGACAGCTTGGATGGGCAGTCACAATCATAGATATGTGATCTGCACATTTCAAAATTCTATGAAACGAAGACCAAAGGTCCAACTGACACTACTATAGAAAGTCAACTGATGAAATAAAAAATTATATAGAATATTTTTAAGTATAATGTCTATTATAATTAGGGTGTTAGTTTGAGAGCAACTGAAGTCGACGTGAAAGTATGGATGCAAGAAATAACTAACAATATATTAGACAGTGGGTAGTTGACTACTATAAAATGGTCTACCAAGCACTACCAGTACTGTAGAAAAGAAGAAATCTGACTATGTAATCAAAATACTAAAAATTACAAGTAGTTCAGTTGAACCCACAGTCAATGCCAACAGTGGGAAAGTTGAAATATACAACTGAGATGGTATATCTAAATTACAAAGAGGTGTGGAGTAGAGGTGTGCTTATTAGTTCTTTTAGACGAGCTAGTTCAAGAGAACTATTTCACAAAAATGAACTAGTTCAGTGAACTAGTTCGCGAAAGAACTATTTGTAGGACCGAAATCGAAATCCAACCCTAACATAACTGGTTATCAGATGTCTCGTCTCAATCATCACACAAGCTCGGCGCCGGCCGCCCGTTTTCTTCGGTTTTCAGTCAGTCTTTCACTAGTTCACTACCGTACAAGTAGTTCGGAACTATTTCTTTCGATCGTATATTTAGGTTTAAATGGTTTAAATTATTATATGATTAGTTAGTTTTTATTTGCAAAAAATTATTAAGATTTGTTTTTTATTAACCGTTTTAAATATACGTAAATATGGTTCACGTATGTTTATAATTAGGTTATTTCTAAAAGACCTTTACAAAAAAAATCAGTGAATTTATTAGGAACATTAAATAAATAACACATTTTCATTCTCACTTTTACATAAAATTATAATGCCTCAATCATTTTAACCACAACTAAAATTTTTATTTCAAAATTACAATACAAGAAACAACACAGCATGACAACATCCAAGCCAATACATGGGCATACGATCCGAACCATTATGACATTAAGATAAGACTTTATGTTATTGTAACATTCATAAGAATTATGCATCTGTTATCTGAGGCTAATCGGCATTTTTTTAAAACTAGTTAGTCCATCCATTCACAAAATAATAAATATATGTTCATTCATTCATTCATTATTTTCTTCTTTAGAAGTTGAGACACAATTTATAATACAAATCGTTCGCAGTGAACTAGTTCTATGAAAATTAATGAACTAGTTCAATTAGTTCAGTTGAAAGAATCGTTCATTTGAACTATTTCGATGGTGAACTACACATCCCTAGTGTGGAGAGTATAAATAACGCCAACTATAGATCAATTGAACCGGAGCAAGCTAGTTTTGTAAATTAATGAAAAATAAAATAGTAATGTTGATCAAAGTATGAAATTAAATTCTTAATGGATATACTCATAAAAATATTCTTAACAAAGTAATTAAAAAGATTATGCAGAACTCCAGAGCAGTTTACTGTGCCTTTTACTACAATGAAAGGTTTTCTGCGAATTCCATGAATCATTTAGAGGCGTAAGTTGGTTAAATGTACTTTATATATGTGTGCATGACAATATTAAACTTACAAATCTGACTTTTCTTCTTTATTGCTCTGGTTGTCTACACTGTCCTTGCTCTTTTTCTTAGCTTTCTTCTGCTTGGTTTTGTCCCTTCTGCTCCTTAAGAACCCTACGAAAATAATACATTATTAAACAAATACTGGCTTAGCGAAATATATAGAGAAGGTAGAAAGCTCTGGTCAACATATCAGCAACAAGTCCGAAACTAGGTGGAGGTGCTTAAGCCATTAGTTTAAGGTGCTAACTACATAATGTATATATTTATACAGATTTGACTTAGTTTCGGTTATAAGAGACTCAAGTGTTAGACATTTCAAATTATATTTAGTCAAATATCCATTGTAAAAGTTCTACATTTTTTAAATGGAAGTTGAAACAAATATTAAATTCTTGTAGTCATGTAAAAACGTTATTTTTATCCTTAAAAATGATGCTATTCAAATGTGTGAAATGGCAAAAGTATCATAAGAAAAAGATAATTAAATTTCTCTGTAAATACACACAAAAATGTTAATTGAAATGACTAAAAACCTGGTCCCTAGTTATCATAATGTGAGAATATCAATGTAGAATAAGATTACTACATTTTAAGATTTGCCAACACAACGCCATAGAATTAACAGAAAGATGCCATGCGCCTAGATACAAAAATGAACGAAAGTAAAATATAAAAGCCATCTATAGGTCAAACTTAGGGTGTAATGCTGAAAAAGAAATATAAATAAAGAAAATAAACCTTCACCAAAAATTAAAATAGACTTGGGGCCCATTCATGCACCTCTGATGTCAGGAATTGTAGAACAGATAAATATAAAATTCCTTTTTGTATTTTTAAAAGTAAAAACTCTAATATATGGCAAATAGAAAATCATCAATTCACTAGTAGTTAATCATGACAGATTTTAACCCTTTCAGTGCGGTGTACTTGTATACAAGTATTATAAAATCCGTGCCATCAGTACGAACCACTTGTTAACAAGTAATTGAGTGACGCGCTCTCACTACGAACCACTTGTATACAAGTTTTATGTAAAGTTATTAGTTATTGAGTTCTAACTACTTGTTTAGAAGTCCTATGCTGTAGGCGTAAGTAACTAAAGGAAGTGCACAAATGACAAATCATTTTTGAACCAATGAAATTGAAAAATGGGCGTGGTTTATTTTTATGCTGGAGTTACAAATTTCAACAAACGGTGTCGACCCGTTGACCGTGCCATTAGTTTTGATCTGACTTTTGAGAGAGGTTTTGTGCTAATTTGTAGTGAAGTATGTTTCGTGAGAAAAAGGGTTTGAGTGAAGCTGAATTATTACAGTTAATTCTAGAAAGTGATGATGATGAAGTGGAATATGTGTTTGACAAGGACAATATTGAGGTGCAAGCTAATAATAATGATAATTCTGAAGATAGTGAAGATGACGAAATTAATATAAACATTACTCATAAATTTGAATGGACTACCAATAATTTATCACCTAATAAATTTGTTTTCGATAGCTCTGCTTCAGGATGTAAAGTGGATTACTTGAATGCAGAATCCACACCATTAGAAATTTTTGAAAGTTTCTTTACTAGTGAGATTGTGCAAAAAATTGTGGATGAAACAAACAGGTTTGCCCTACAAGAACTTGTGAAAGAAAACACGGAAAAATCGCGAACTAAGAAGTGGACAGATGTAAGAAATGAAGAATTGTATGTTTTCTTGGGGTTAACCTTTCTGATGCCAAGAACAAAAAAGTTATCCCTTCATGAATATTGGAGTACGAATCCATTATTACGCACACCTCTTTTTTCAGAAGCGATGTCCCGGGATCGATATCAAAATATTTTGAAGATGTTACATTTTTGTGACAACTCAGTTCAACGTGAAAATGATGTTCTCTTCAAAGTTAGGATGTTGGTAGATCATTTCAAAACAAAATTTATCAATACCTTTGAACCTTTCGATAACGTATGTATTGACGAAAGTTTGCTTTTATTCAAGGGGAGATTATTCTTCAAACAGTACATACCCTCTAAACGTCACCGTTTTGGCATAAAACTTTTTTTACTCGTAGACTGCAAAACTGGATATATTTGTGATTTTATTATATATACGGGTTCGAGTACTTATAGTTCCGATATTGGAAATTTAGGAAAATCGGGTTATATTGTAACAACCCTAATGAATAAATATTTAGACAAAGGTCACAAGCTATTCGTAGATAACTGGTACACAAGTCCAGAACTATTTTATTGGTTATATAATAGAAACACCGGAGCTTGTGGCACGGTAAAGAAGAGTAGGAGAAATATGCCTGCATTGTCTGAAAAATTGGCTAAAGATGAATTAACTTTCAGAAGCGATGGCAAAATGTTAGCTATGAAGTGGAAAGACAAAAGAGAGGTATGGATGCTAACTACTCTACACGAAGCTGATATGGGAAAAACAGAAAAAAAAATGCACAGATACTGGACGTCCAAAAATGAAACCGACTTGTATTATAGACTATAATAAATATATGGGCGGAGTAGATAAAAGTGATATGCTATTGTGTTCAATTGAATGTGTGCGGAAAACGACGAAGTGGTATAAAAAACTTTTTTTCCATTTTATGGACATGTCTCTTCTAAACTCCTACTATTTGTACAAATTTCTAAATAATAAAAAAATTTCAGTAGCAGATTTCCAAATCAAACTAATTTTTGAGATTTTAGAAAAATACAGGGGAAGTTCTGGTACTAGTGGCTGTTCTTTATCTGGACGCGTTATGGAAAATCCGTTAAGACTTGATCGTTCAAGTTACCACAGTCCCTCTTTTATTCCAAGTACAGAAAAGTTAAAAAATCCCTTAAGAAATTGTGTAGTTTGTACTAAAAACAAAATCCGACGGCAAACCAGATACCGTTGTGATAAATGTGATGTTTCACTTTGTGTTGTACCTTGTTTCGGCGACTATCACAGTAAAAAAGTATACTGGAAGTAAGTTAATTATTTTAAATCAATACCTAGATGTATTTTTGCAACAATTTTAATATTTGATACGATAAATACTTGTTAATTTCAAAAAATAAATGTTTCAATTACATATTTTTTTATTAATTATTGCTAAAAATATCCTTTCCAATAAATAAATGTTGCAATAAATTATAATTTATTGCAACAACACTTTAATAATAAATTTAAAAATCGTGTAATACAATATAACAAGTGTTCGCACTCCAGCGAAATCATCCGTAATACGGGCACGATTGCCACAAAAACGGTCGTACTGGTGTACGATAAACGTGGAGAGACGGCCGCGCTGAAAGGGTTAAACAACATTTATTAAAGGAATTTTATATGTTTGTCCCGGTCCTGGTACATCTAAAAGGAGAGAAAAATTTACACTTGGATCCTCTATTGGAGTGCCTTGTCAACTGTTGCTCCCCTTCTGGAGTTGTAGGACTTGAAGGAGCGCTGCATGGACCCGCTCGACTTTCACGTGATCCTAAAAAATAGCCCAAGCCCCCGTTAAATAGTAAAATAGCCACCCAAAGGCCATAAACGTACCCTGGGAGTTAGACATGAAGAGGTTTAGGAGAGAGGTTGTTCGACGAGATGTTTTGGCATGTGTTGGCACTGATTCACTTTGACCATTACCTTCTCTCTTTGTTGTTTTCGATTCTGCTTCCGTAGTAGTGGGAGATGTTAGTGGGTCCTCCAAATCCAATGTACCTTCAACAAATTAAAAGCCATCTTAATAAAAAAAAGTTAATTTCAAAAGATATGGACTTATTATAGACTTATAAGGGTGAAATGTAAAATTTAGGATAGTACTAAAGTTGATTCAAATTCGACGTGCAGTAAAAGTAAACAAAACCAGGCTATGCTACGTAAGACTCCATAGGCGTGCGGTTTTGCTTTATATTTCCTATTTCCTATCAAATTAATAAAACAGTATGTACAATTAAAGATTTGTTTACTATGAACAAAGAAGATAAAATATACAATGTTAGTATTATTTTCAAGGAAATTCAAAATAAACGTCCCTACTGTAAAATAAAAAGAAACTTATGGTTTGACAAAAATAATAAAGCAGTAATTGCAACGTTGTTTTGACACTTAAATGATCGAAATCGAAACATCAAATACAGTTATTTTTTAAAGTAAATTGTGTGTTAGTTCGAATCAAAAGTAGTAACTTATTATTATGTTTACAGTTTTTATTTGAAAAACAATAAAATTCACGTGTAATTGTACATATTGTTTTAATAATTTAATACGAAAGCAAAACCGTATGCCAAATTTTGATTGATTGACAAAGAAGGCTTCTGGCTGGTACAAAATAAACAACTGATCAAATCCTATCACGCGATATAGAAAATGAAAGGGGAGCTATAACGATTACTTAAGGAAAGAAAAAACAAACAGGGCGACCCAAAAGAGCGCTACGAAGCATCTTCGTTATTAATGGATGTATACTTTCATACGAGATATCATAGTGCACTACGGATGAAAAAGCGTCTGACTGAGTACAAGATAAACAACTGATCGAATCCTCACATGCGACATAGTAAATGAAAGGGAAGGATATAACGAATATATTAAGATAGAAAATCAATTACATATCTTAATAGATTCGTTATATCGTCCCTTTTCATTTGCTATGTCGCATGTTAGGATTCGATCAGTTGTTTATTTTTTAGTCAACCAGAGGCCTTCTTGAAGTCAATAAATGAAAATTTGTCTTATAGTAAATTTATTTTCATCCATAGTGCCCTATGTGGTCTCGAAGCTCACGTTCAGCAGTGGTTTGTTATGTGGTCTCGAAGGCTCACCTTCGAGACCACATAACAAACCAACAAATCAGACGAAGATCAGGAGTTCAAGACGTCATCGAAAGAACCACGACGCTTAAGTGGAACTGGGCAGGGCACTTAGCCAGAACACAAGATGGACGGTGGACAAGACGCATTATGGAATGGAGGCCCAGAAATTATAAAAGAAGCCGAGGACGACCACCGACTAGATGGACCGATGACATTAAACGTGTAGCGGGAAACTGGCTACAAGCGGCCCAGTGTAGAGAACACTGGAAAGAATTGAGGGAGGCCTATGTCCAGCAGTGGACGCGATTGCTGATTGATGATAGTGCCCTATGATATCTCGTATGTAACTATACGTCCATTAATAACGAACATGCTGTGTAGTGCCCTTTTGGTAGTCGTTTTGTTTGTTTTGTCTATCGTAATATAATCTTTATCCCCTTACCTTCCATTTTCTATGCTGAATGTTAGCATTCAATCAGTTGTTTATTTTGAACTCAGTCAGAGGCCTTCCTTGATTCAATAAATCAAAATTTGTCTTATAGTAAATCTATTTTCATCCATAGCGTCCTATGATATCTCGTATGTAACTATACGTCCATTAATAACGAAGATGCTGTGTAGTGCCGTTTTGGTAGTCATCTTGTTTGTTTTGTCTATCTTAATATAATCGTTATCCCCTCCCTTTCATTTTCTATGTTGCATGTTAGGATTCAATCAGTTGTTTATTTTGAACTCAACCAGAGGCCTTGCTTGAGTCAATAATCACTATAAATATAATGACTATAAATCATACGGTCGGCCGCAACTTATGCTACGATGTCTACTTCATATTTTCATATGTATTTCATAATACAGGAAAATATAGGTTTATACATCGTTAAAATCATGATTTGAGAGTGCCCCTCGTAACATTCATACTGTTGACGGTTTATTTATACTTACTGCAGCTCTATCTTGTATTTAGTGTAGAAATGTTTAGAAAGGTTTTCGAAGCCCCGCCATTGTGACTTCAGAGGTGAGGTAGTCCATTAATACACAACTGACCGTTTCCACTAAACAGACTCGAGTTTCAAAAACTCGTGACTCGAAAAACAAAACGAACTGTTTCAAAACACGCCAGTCTTTAAAAAGTTTGTGAAAAGTTGCTATTTTGTTTTATTGGACACGAGTTTGTGTTTTGTTTTTATTTTGTCCGTTTGGTGGGAAACCGCCATTAGATATTACATTTAATTTTAAAACAATTTTTACATATTTAATTTAATTTTATTAATTCAATGCATTACAATAACGAATTCACATTATTATGTTGTTGGAAAACCTTATTGTAACATTTATTAATTTGATTTTATCTTTGTTATTCTTCTGATCATAAAATATAAATGATAACATTTATTATAACTATAAATGAATAAATTCAAGCACTATAATTCCCTGACGCACGCCCTGGCTAAAATATTATCACTAGAACAACAGTGGTCCAACTAAGTTATAGCAATTCTTCCGCGTACAAGGACTACTAAATGATATGGTATGCTGTTAATACTTGAGTTTCGTATACGATGTCTATTTATATAGTTTATGAGGTGGATATTATGTACGTTTATACATTGTAAATCATGATTTGGGATTGCTCCTCGTAATATTCATAATGTTGATAATGTGTCTTGGTTTGTTTACTGCTACTGCATCTTTAAGTTAAATTTGGTTTAGATTTAAGGAATGTACAATAAAAATTTAGTTTATTAGCAAATATCATGGGAAAAGCTGTTTCTGTTTTCAACGGTCTTGATAAACAAAACGTAAGGGATTAACAATCCCTTTTGAGTCCCGTATCGGTTTCTAAACTCTGGAGTATTATTTTTAAAAAGTTAATTACACAGGGTCCATTGTTAGATTGTTTATAGGGAACAAAAATGGCAAATTTAAAATTTCTTGAGACCTAGGTATTTTATTTTATTTTGAAGGCCAAAAAAAATTATTGGTTGCCCGAAAACTGGTGGAAGGAGATTTTTGATTTGACTTATACTTAGAAGATGAGAATTCGGTTATATTTTCCGCAAAATGTTTTTTCTGATGTTCAAATTGCTTGCCATCTTGTGCAATACAACAAGCGATTCTATCTTCGAATGATTTACTTACATTATTTAACATAGCAGGAGTTATTGAAGCAAACGCGTTTGTAATTCTTAATTTCATGTCATCTCTAGTAGTAGGAGGTGTAGCATATACAATATTTTTAATATAACCCCACTTAAAAAAATCCATCTTGGTTAGTCCTGGTGACCTAGGGGCCAATTATATGAACCACCTCTACCTATCCATCTGTTTGTAAATTTTCTGTTAAGGTAGTTCCTAACATTACGTGAGAAATGAGCAGGAGCTCCGTCCAACTGGAGCCACATTTTTGTTCGTAGACTAAGTGGAAGGTTCTCAAGCAGTGTCCAAAAATCTTGTTTTAAAAAATTTAGGAAATTTGTCCCATTGAGATGTCCGTCAAAAAAATACGGGCCATAACGTACTCGCCCATAATGCCGCCCCAAACATTAACACTCCATCGGTGTTGGCGATCAACAGTACGAAATAAATGTTTATTTTCTGTGTCATAATAATGAAAATTATGTCTATTTACTATACCATTATTATGAAAAGTCGATTCGTCTGTAAATAATACATTTCTAAAAAAATCAGGATCTCCTCCAACTTTATCTTAAGTCCATAAACAAAAATTTAAACGGTTACCATAATCTTGTTCTGTCAAATGCTGATGAAGTTGAATGTGACACCGATGAAAGTGGTTGGTCTTAAGTATTCTACATACACTATAGTCGGACAATTTTTAATTAAATGTGACTAATCTACAAGTTGAACTAAACGGCAGCGGCAACCATGAAAAATTTCATTAGTTCATTCTTACCGGGGTCATTTTTATTGTGTATGCTTCGCCCATGTAAATATGTAAATTTGTAACCCATGTAAGATAAATTTGCCCCCGTAACAATATAAATTTGTGCGATTTACGAGTGTATAGTGAGACAAGTTCATAGAATAGTTTGGAACATCGGTAAAATTATCAATATTTTGCTGGTCTATATATATTTACGTTTTTAGAAAGAATGTTAATTAGAGAAATATGATATCTTAGTTTATTGAAGTTTATGAAATATGATATCTTCCAGATTTTATTCATATGTGCATGGGCGTAGTGTATTATTGGGAATATATTTATTAAATATACTTTATTATTAACTTTAAAATAGTTTTGAGGTAAGTAAAGTAAATTTAAGGCCAGTTTATTCTTAATATAGTATTAAACCCTTAACGGCCGCTCAATATACAAAGAGAAATTTGACAATTAATTTATTAGATTGGATTAAAAACACAAATTAGGAATAAATTACAACCAAAAAGATTTTTTTTCTTATTTTTAAGGAAAACAGTACAATTTTTAATAAAGGAACATATTGTATCTTAAACGTAAATTAAATTTTAAGGTAAAAATTTTCGAAATATTCGGGGTGTAGATGCATTCTGCACTTTTTACATAAATAAATAGTATTACTTTTGTACATACTACATTTTTGCACTATCATCTCTTTTTATAATGTGGCCAATATTGTCGAATCTGGTTTATCTGGTAAAGCAAATTTAGATTGACGTCCATGTACTGACACTGATGTAGCGGTTTCTTCACTATTATAAATTAAAATTATAAATCTATGTCGGCTGATGCTTTCTCTTATAATATGCACTTCTTTATCCTCATCCTTTGACCAATGCATATCAACTTGAAGCAGAGTGTAAACCAGATAATATACATATGCTAATAATTTTTTTAAATCTATGTTATTCATTTCAAAATTGTGACGGTTATTCTCAATTACTTTTTTATCAAAAAGAGTGAAAAAAACCTCAATATATGGCTTGCCTACATGGTTGGCTTTTATATTGTCTAAATATCAATCAGACTGATGTTGAATTACCACTGAGCACGAAAGAATATCCGTTATTACAACTTGAGATAAATTTGGATTTACTATTTTTGCCTGGTTTTTTCTTTGGACGTTTTATCTGTGGTTCAGAGGAATATCATAATCAGAATCGTTAGAATTCCCAATCACTTGTATTTCATATGTACCTGCAATTTCCGATTTTATTGATTCTTCACAAATAATATTATCATCAATCTCTTTAAGGAATACAATAATATACCAGCAAACGAATGGGAAAGATACCTGACGGAACTGTTTAAAGCAAAGGAAAATAATAATCAACACAATAACGTACCTGAACTAAGAGACGAAATAGAAATCAGTTTTCACGAAGTAGAAATAGTCATAAATTCACTCAAAAATAGAAAGTCACCAGGACCAGACGGAATAACCAACGAGCTTCTAAAATACGGATGAGAAAGTTTAACCCTAGAGATGACAAAACTTATACAAAAACTAATATTGCACTGCAAGATACCAGACGCATGGAGAAACAGCATAATGATACCAATGGTCAAGAAAGGAGATAAAGAAGACCCCAACAATTATAGAGGTATAAAACTACTGAACACCGCAATTAAGCTTACCACAAAAGTCCCAACCAACAAAATCAATAAACTAACAACTTTATCAGATGAACAACAAGGATTCAGATCCGGATGATCCTGCGTAGACGCCGTATTTGTACTAAGACAAATCACAGAAAAGGCCATCATATCTATGTTTTATAGACCTGACAAAGGCTTTCGATCGCATCCAAGTCGAAGACGTCTTACACCTACTGTATAAAAGGAACATACCAATCAATATTATACAAACCATCGAAAGCATCTACCTCCATAATCGAATACAGGCAAAGATAAATGGAAAACTAACACAGTGTATACTAGTACAAAGCGGAGTCAGACAGGGTGACTTAATATAATAGTCACCATTAATAAGGAATATATTAATGGACGAAATAATACAAGCAGTACGTAAAAGTCATGGCTACAGAATTGGGAACAAAGAAATCCAAATATTATGTTATGCAGACGACGCCGCATTAATCACCGAGACAGAAGACGAGCTCTAAAGATTAACACATATCTTCAATACAACAGCTAAGAAATACAATATGATAATATCAGCGGAAAAATACAAATGTATGACATTTAAATACCCACTACGGTGTAAAATCGAAATTTATGGGAAAATAATAAAGCCGGAAGCAAGGGTTAGATATCTGGGAATAGATATAACTAGTTACGGAGATGTTAAAGAAGAAGTACGACAGCAAAGCTTAAAAGCAAGTAAAGCGGCGGGTTCTCTTAATGACACAATCTGGAAGAACAAACACCTAAGACAAGACACAAAAACAAGAGTCTATAAAGCAGGAATTAGACCTATATTAACATACACGGCTGAGACAAGACCTGACACATCTAAAACAAGACGACTGCTAGAAACAACAGAGATGAAAATACTACGACGAATATCAAGGGGAAGTCTGTTGGATAGGAAGAGAAGCAAAAACATAAGAAGAGCATGCAATATAGAAGACATAAATGGATGGGTGACAAAACGAAAACAAAAGTGGAACAAACACATCAGTAGAATGGCGGAGGATAGAATAGTATGAATAGCACGAGATAAGTCACCAAATGGACGAAGAAGTATTGGCAGACCAAGAAAAAGATGGTGCGACAATTTAAACAATTTCGGAAGCTAATATTGAAGAGTCAACAGGCTTTAAAGCCTACAAACTAGAAGGAAGAAGAAGAAGAAGATCAATGTCTTCTACATCAGAAACTTTCTAATCTAATCTCGGCGGCAAATATACCACATTAAGTGGCATTTTCACAATCTGAGTCTTCTTCTAACAAAGCTATTAACTCTTTAGTAGTTAGTGCCATCTTCATTTCATATTTCGAGAATTTACTGAAATAAACAAATGCACTGCTATATAAACGCATTCATATGATAATAGTTTAGCTTACTTCATTTTAATTTATATGAACTTCATAATATATTTTCATATTTATATAAACAAATAAACACAAACAAACTTTCAAATTAATTAAAAAAAAACAAATATAACATTACAGCACACAGCAATTCTATAAATAGAGAAAGATGTGTAATGATGTGTAATTAAAATTGCAGATTGTTTTTAGTCTAATGAAAAAAAAATTATTTTCCAAAGTTTTCTGTTTTTTGAAGTTCTGTATTAGATACTCTCTAATAAGTATAAAATTTTATTTTATTTTGTTAGACAACTATAAGATACCTGTTAAAAGAGACATGATAATTTAATAATTAAATCGGTCTTAGATTTAATTTTTACGTAATTACTTATGTGTTTAAATAAATAATTAAATTTTTTTTGGTACGCCTCTGCAAAATTGATAATTTCAATACAATTTCGTTGAAAAGTTATCGTTAAGGGCTTCGTTAAGTACGATGTTGCCAAGTAATCACCTTCAATTAAAAATTGTTTTAGTATAGTTTGACTAATTTCTAATTCATCCGAAATTTTTCTTGTACTAATATTTAGCAATCTCTGAAAAACTTCCTTGTGTGGGTGTCTTCTATCAGGATTCTTTTGAGCATAAACTTTAGAAGCTAAGAGACAATTTTCCAATTCTCCAGAGAACATTCTCCAATGCAAAGTACCATGTCAAATCTTTCATGGATAGCGTAATTCTTCATTTTTAGGAACAATGAAAGTTAAATATTACACACGAATGTGTGCAATGTCAGAAAATGACAATGTCATACACATAAACCATAACTATATCTTTTGTTTTAAAATCAATATACCGATGAAGAGTTTAAATAATTGTAAATTATGCAAAAACTATGAGACTTAAGTATATGACATCTTTATACCGTTCAAAAGAGGAAACTTTTTTTAGTATTACGTGTTTGGGACTTTTCATTTTGTATAATATAGGATTTTTAGGTCAGTCTTACAACAGTGTTGTAGTTGCAACCTGTAGTGTCTGGGAGCTCGGAAAACTGAGACCTCGGAAGCCCTGAAGAAGACATCAAAGAGGATGTCGAAAGCTCGGCCCAATGGATATCGACGCGGTTCAACCCGGAAGACTTACAGGTGAGTTTAATATTAATTTTTATAATAGTATTAATCTTAGCTCTAGGATATATATAGAAAGAGGGAGCTTACCTGGTCGTTCTAATCCAGTAGATTTACTGTGAACAAATTGTTCAAGCAACTGGTCCACAGTTAACACTACACACTGTTGCCGGAATTCTGAATGCACAGTTCCCACCTGTTCGTGTGTCGATTCAACAACATCTGAGTACTTTGTAATAAAATCTTTCATGTGAACTAAATGATTAATTTCTAAGTCTTGAAAATTTTTACAAGTCACTGACATTTTCTTTTCAAAATCTTCTTTAGCGGTACTATATTTGTCCACAAAGGATTTGTAATCTTCCTGCGCTTTTTTCAGCTTAACTTCAGCCTTTTCTATTTCTTTAGCAGAAGTGCTTTCTTTGCGTAACTTTTCTAATTCAAGGTTACGTTGGGTGTATGTGTCTCGGGATTTTTGAACATTTAACGTTACCGTTTGCATTGCCTGGACGGCTTCCAGTGTTCCAGATTCTTCTTCCTTAACCTATAAATAAATGTACAAATGTATTAATTACTTTATTCAGACTGGATAGATAACTTCCAGAAAAATTTATATAGTTTAATGTTATTAGATTGATATAAGGTGCAATGCTCGAATAAATGAACTTTGACCAAATGAAAGGCAGATATCGAGCACAATTTATTAATTAAATATTGCCCAAGTACTTTCGCTTCCTAAAGCATCTTTAGCGGCATCTGAAATAAGCCAAAATATCGAAGAAACAGTATTACACACTGAAAGTGAGGAGTTTAGAAAATCAGTGGAAAGTGATATAAGAGCATTGAAAAGGTGTTTAGTTGATGCCGAAATTAAAGAAATAAGTTCAACTTCTGGATCCACTGACCATTCTGAAGAATTAGTGTCATATTTGAATAGTGATAATTCAGATGTAGATGAAGATTCTATTCCTTCGGACACTTCATCTGATACAAGTGACAATGATAGGCCAAGCAATGCCATCTAAAAAGTGTGAAACAACAACTACTTCCAGTAATAATACGGATGACATAGTAATTAATGATACTTTTACAAATAAAAGTGACGATGGCAAAGACCAAATAAATAACTCTAATGTTCAACCTAAAAAACCGAAATATAACAGAGTAGAAATGAAAGAAAAGAAGATGTTAGGAGAAGAACATATTACACGAAAAGGTATACAAAACCTGCAAAAGAGCGAGAAACTCTCCATAGATGAACAAAAAGAAATTTTTTATCTTTTTATTAAAAAAGTGCAAGACAAAGACCAAGTAATTTCTGAAAAAGTGAAGATTGAGTCAAAGAAGACAGAAAGAAAAGATAAAGGAGAACGAGGAAATAATAAAAACAGACAAATTGTGGTATCATATAATATCACATATAACGACAAAACGTTAAAAGTTTGCAAATACATGTTCCAAAATCTACATGATATCACAAGAGGAAAAATTGATATTTTGATAAAAAAAAAACAAATATCACCCACGGGTTTTATAGAACCTAATGGATCTGGAAAACGCCAACCACATAACGCTCGACCAGACGAAAAAGCTGAAGCTATAAAATACATAGTCTTTTCCGAAATATGAGGCACTACTCTCGAAGACACACAAGTCGACTTTATTTAGCTTCCAATCTAAATATTAAACTTATGTATGATCTTTATGTACATATCAAACAGAACAATGCCTGTATCATATTTATTTTATGCTAAGATTTTTAAAGAACTTGAATATAAATTTAAAAATCCTAGTATCGATACATGTAAGACTTGTGATTATCTAGAAAACAAGAAAAAATCCTCTAATAGTGAAGAAATACGTGCAGATGTGGATGAAGAGAAAAATAAACACCTTCAGCTAGCAGATATTGCCTATGGTGGAAAAAAAGGAGATATAGAGTTCTCCAAAGACAGTAGCGGTAAAATGGTTGTTTTAGCATTTGACTTACAACAGAACCAACACCCAATTTAAGCCCAAATGTAGTCTACTATAAAAAATTGCTCTGGACATATAACCTCACCATCAGAAATTGCACTGAAAATACCACTTCATGTTTTATGTGGCATAAGGGGTTGCCAAACCGTAGATCAGATCAAGTTGCTTCTTGTCTTTTGAAATATCTTGACAGCGTAGTTGATACAGTTGAAAACGTTGTTCTATATTCGGATTCTTGTCCCGGACAAAACAAAAATGACATTGTTGCAGGAGCACTGTCTTTATTTGTTTATAGATCAACAACCATAAATGAAATACAACACAAGTTCCTGGAAGTAGGTCATAGTAGAATGGAATGTAATGCCGACCATGCAAGAATTGAGCGTGCCAAAAAATCGTCACAAATTTAAATAAGGATACTTCATGACGTACCAGTTTGTCGGAACTGTCCCCGGTAAGAAGAAATTCCAGGGTATCGAAATGCAGAGGAAAGATTTTTTAGCGTATTCAAAACTTTTCGAGAATATCTATGTAAAGCGTGATAAAGGTGTGGATAATGAAAATGTGAAATGGCATGATATAAAAGTTCTAATAAAAGTTCTACGTTTTGGTAAAGAGTTGGGTGTTATAGACATTAAATATGCACATAAAGGTCTTGACGTTTCTACCCTTAATATTAAACGCAGAGGGCAGCAGATGGATCCTACATTAGAACCTGTTTATAGTGGAACTAAACCCATAAACATCAAAAAAAGGAAGATTTGCTTTTCCTGCTGCAATACCTTGATTTAGTGTACCATCCATTTTACCACGGACTCAAGACTAGTGAGAATGTAAATGATGGAATTTAATGTTTTATTTTTAAATTATAAACATTGTTTTTTATGTAGATTGATAACAGTGAACAATAAAAATAATTTTGCTAATTGTTATTACTCATTTCAAAGAGATTTATACTGAAGTTTAAATTTAGATATTCAATAAATTGGTGAATTTTACATTATTTTTATAAATTGATTAAAAGTAACCATCTTTATTAAATATCAAGTTTTAATTTCAGTATAAATTTCTTATTTTGTAATTATGATATGTCTATATATGGCATCTAAGATATTTGCCAAAACATGATAATATGTTAGTAAAATAATTTTTCACAATAGAATTTCCAAAATTAATGTACACTATAGTTTAAGCAGCATTTTATTTATTTATATACGAAATTTCATAAAAATCTAATAAAATTTGAGCGAGTAAAAAATAAAAACAAATTTTCATGAGGTTATAAATATATTTTTAATTTCGCTCTAAAACTTGTTCTATTTGACATATCAAGTTTTGGCAAATAGCCACAGAAATAATTGTCCTAAAAACTAGCAACAGTGATCTCCTGTTGTGTATAGTACAAACGGAATTCGGTCAGAATGTGCAGACGTTATATAAGTTTTTAATCCCTGAGTCATATTACCGATAACAGCGATGAATGGAAATATAGAGGTCCGGATTTACACTCCATAATTAAAGACATTACGTGTGTAGATACCTCTAAAATGTGGCGTCCTTGGGAGAACAATGATTCCGAGCATGAGGTTAAAGGAGCAATAGAAGATGTTTATCCATTAAAAGATTTATATGACGACTATGTGGAATGCAAGCGAAATATTAAATATCTCTCTAACGATGCCAAAAGTATAGTGAAAAATGTGTATGAAGGACTATGCTCCGAATTTACTAAATTATAGACCATTGCAGAAACTATTTTTTTTTTAAGAGCGTAGGCGCAAAATTTCGGCCAATGCTTTTTAAATGCATTCATTTTTTTCGAATCCTGAGAAAACTAACAAATATTTTTGAAAAATTTAAACGCAGAATGAAAGATTATATTATTACCGAGGGCCGAAAGTCCCTCAGAATAAACAAAAAGTTTTTTTGAATGAGATATTTGAAATTAAAAATCACACTAAATTTCTCTTTTTTTCACCCCTGTAACTTATTAAAATAACATTATATAAGTTTTCAGGGACTTTCGGCCCTCGGTAATAATGTATTCTTTCATTCTGCGTTTAATTTTTCAAAAATATTCATTAGTTTTCTCAGGATTCGAAAAAATTGAATGCATTTAAAAAGCATTGGCCCGAAATTTTGCGCCTACGCTCTTAAGTGCCAAAATCAACAGTATATAGGAGGGATATCTACATCAAGAAAAAAGAGAAAAGATAGTGACAAGTTCCGCAAAATAGAAAGCCACTTAATTTAACCTATAAGTACAACAATATATAAAATGTATGGAGCCAACATTTTTCCCACGATTGAACCTCTTCGACAAGAAGTCTTTCGAAAAGATATCGTTTCTTGTTCGGCAACAATACTTCGCGTTTTCCTTAAAGCTAATAATTTTAAGTATAGATCTATACCTGTGCCGGTCTTAGCTTGTGTAGAGGAGGGACGCTGAACTGAGTAGGGGTCCTTCAGTACTTTGTACAAAACAGACTGAGCGAGGAAGTCCTCAACCCCGACACGGCGCATCCCAATGGCTGATAGGAAACGTTCCTGTAGATGTGCAGGACAGGTATGAATAAGGCTTCGCCAAATAAGTACCCGCGGATCAACGGAGAACGTGACAGGTCAGCAGCTGTGTCATTAGTGGCCCGTGACTAAGGAATACAATTCCTGACAGGTGCGGTACCCAAAGTCGCAGGCGAAAATCAAATACTAATTTAACCGGCTGTGATACTGCGAACACTCACCAACCCGTCCGACAAGCATGGTGTTTTAATGCCAATATAGCCTCAAAACACAACATGTTGAACTTGAAACAAAATGGAACGATACCCCAGGTTGGTAGAGCTAGCTAGCGCCAAAATAAACGCGACGAATAAACAAAAACAGTTACTACTAGCCACATACAACATCCAATCTATGGTTAAAGATGAAAACGTCTACGAATTAAAAGAAGAACTATCCAAGATAAAGTGGGATATTGTAGGACTGTCAGAAGTGAAAAGAAGAGGCGAACAATTCATGCATCTAAACTCTGGAAATCGCTTATACTATACAGGAAAATAGACGAAACATGGTGGAGTAGGATTTTTTGTCAAAAAGTATCTCACACCATACATTTCTACAGATAAAAGCGTTTCTGATAGAGTAGTTTATATTATAATAGACCTAGATAATAAAACCAAGATCAAGATTATACAAGTGTATGCTCCCACAACATATCAGGAAGAGGTAGTTGAAATGTTCTACGAAGATTTGATAACAGCATAAGAAGAAAATGATACAAAGTATACAATCATTATGAGATATTTCGGTAAAAAAGATGAAAACACTGAAACCAAATAGGGATGCATGGTTATGGCACACGAAATGAAAGAGGAGAAACAATATATAACTTCTAAGAACAACAAAATTTATATGCCATGAACACACACTTCCAGAAACCAGCAAACCGAAAAGGGACGTGGATATCTCCGATAAGAAACACGAAAAACGAGATCGATTACTTCTTAGGTGGGAACAAAGACATTTTTGAAGATATAACTGCTCTCAATCGATTCACAACTGGCAGCGATCATCACATTTTAAGAGCAAGGATTTATTAACAGACGAAAAAACAGTAGAAAAAGGACACATAATTATTGTAATGATCAAACTAAAATACGACAGAAGGGAGATGAGTACAGAAAGCTCTTGAAAGCAGGACTGACTGTTGCAAAGAAAACGAAAAATAAAGAAGACTAAATAAGTGAAGGAACAAAACGGTTGATGGAAAGAGGCGCACATTTCTAAGCGAAGGAAAGCGAAACACCAATGGTTTCAAAGAATTGAATAAACAAATAAAGAAGAGAGTAAAGGATGATTTAAGTATCTATAATGAAAACAAGGTAGAAAAAATAATAGAAAAGAACCGAGGCGTGAAATTCTTAAGATCAAACTTAGGAAAGCCTATAATAATCTCATTGAAGGATAAAGATGGAAAAGAAATAAGAGAAAAGAACGAAATCCTAAAAGTTACTCAAACATTTTACCGTGATTTATATTCCTCAAACAAGAACTCAGATAACACTGCAAAGGAAGATCTTAAGATACAGATAACGAATGTCAACTCAGAAATACTTCCTAACATAGAATCCTTCGAAATAAAACAAGCTATGGCACAACTAAAGAACAATAAGGCTACGGGCCCAGATGGAATACTTGTAGAAATGTTGAAGGAGGGGAGTGAAATTCTCAACGAATGCTTCACAGCGGAGAAGTCCCAGATGATTGGAATGAAAGTTTGACAATACTTCTCTTCAAAAAGAGAGATAGGGGAGATCTGAACAACTATAGGCCAATCTCCCTGCTGTCCCAAATGTACATTCTATTTATAAGAGTAATAACTAACAGGTTAACGTCGAAGCTCGATAGCTATCAACCGGTAGAGCAGGCAGGATTCCGAAAGGGTTACAGTACAGCGGATCATCTTCTTACAGTCAGAACTCTAATAGAGAAAACAAATGAATATCACTTGAACTTATACATTGGCTTCGTTGATTATGAAAAAGCATTCGACTCCATAGAACTTTGGGCAATAGAGAGAGCTATGAACAACTGCAGGATAGACTCCGATACAGAATGCTCATACATAATGTTTACAAGAAAGCTACAATAAAAATACAAATAGATGCGAAAACCAAAGCTATACCAATCAACAGAGGAGTTTACCAGGGAGATGTTATCTCACCAAAGCTATTCACACTTGGACTGGAAGAGGTGTTCAAAGACTTTAACTGGGCAGATAAAGGAATAAATGTTAATGGAAGAAAACTGAGTCGTTTAAGATACGCTGATAACATTGTAATATTCGCTACAAGTTTCGAAGAACTACAGACCATGATGACGCAACTATTTCAAGCTTCGGAAAAAGTAGGTCTTAAGATGAATTTAGAAAAAACAAAAATAATGACAAATACACCGAACATTAGAGAAATAACGTTGAATGACATAAATTTAGAAACAGTAAGCGAATACATCTACCTGGGACAGATAATGAAAGTTAACAAAGAAAATCAAACTGCCGAAATTACCAGAAGAATAAGGTTAGCGTGGACAGGATTTGGAAAACTGAGTTTAATCTTGAAAAGCACTAAAATAGAACAATATTTGAAAACCAGAATGTACGATCAGTGTATCCTCCCTATACTCACGTATGGTTCACAGACGTGGACACTCACCAAGTCTAATATGGATCTTCTTCTTATGGTGGCCTATCCAATTAGTGGATGTTGGCGACAATTCTGGAATACTGCTCTCGATCTTGTGTGGCTATAAAAAGTGCATGGGCATCGATATTTGTCCAATCCCTTATGTTTTTAAGCCATGAGTATTTATTTCTTCCGATGCCTCGTTTTCCTTCTATCTTCCCTTCCATAATAAGCTTTAGGAACTGGTACTTGGAATTTCGAAATGCCCATTCTGCCCATTCTATTTAATACTTCGACATTTGTTGTGTGATCTGTCCAGGGAATTTTAAGTAGTCTTCTAAATACGCACATTTCAAAGGCCTCTAACCGGTTCATCACATTGGCCTTTATGGTCCAGGTTTCTACACCATATAGCAGTATGGAGTAAATGTAACATTTTACAAAGCGATATCGAAGCATTAAGTTGAGGCTGCTGTTGCTTAGCAAGGTTCTCATATTAGTAAATGCTGTTCTGGCTTGCTCAATTCTGCTACGTATCTTTATGTCTGGATCTAGATCTTCAGTTATCCAACTACCGAGATATCTGAACTTGAGGACCTTTTGGATGTTCTTGTTGTTTACGCTTATATTCAATTGCATATTTCGTGTTCTACTAACCACCATTACCTTCGTCTTGTCTATATTAATCTTCAAGACCACTCGTTCTCCTTCAGTGTTTATTCTATCTATTAGTCGTTGTAGCGCTTCTTGGCTATCAGCTATTATGACTGTTGTTTAAATTGTTGATTTAAATTGACTGGTCGCTGGTTAATCGTGGTGGTAAATAGTTGATCGATAGGGCGAAGAAATAACTTGTAAAACCAAATCTCTTCACACGTTCTTTATTGAGTGCTCTTATGGCAATATATGGAAACATACTGTTCTTATAAATTTGTAACGACTTTGCCGAGGGCTGACAGGGTTGCCGTCTAGACAATTAAATCTTATTGCTAGGAATTGTACATAGAATAAAATATATTGAAATAATTTTAAACAACTGTATCATCAGCATAGCGAAGATTACTAATAGTCTGTCCGTTCATTTTGATTCCAACTTCAGTGTCACTTAAGGCTCTATTGAAAATCGTTTCAGAGTAAAGATTAAAAAGGAGGGGTGACAGAACACAACCCTGTCGTACACCTTTTTCGATTGAAAAACATGATGTAGATTCCAGTCCTACTCTCACAGATGCCACTTGATTCATATAAAGGTTCTTTATGATTTTAAGGTCATTCTCATCTATCGAACGTTCCTGGGGCAATCTTATTAATTCTGAATGATTAACACAATCGAATGCTTTCGGGTAATCTATAAAGCATAGGAAGACATCTTTTTGCTGATCTCTGCATTTCTGAAGTAGGACAGTTAAGCTATAAACTGCTTCTCTTGTGCCAAATCCTTGTCTGAAACCGAACTGTGTGGGGCTAATGTCTCTTTCACATCTGTTGTATATTCTTGTGTGAATTATCTTTAACAAGAGTTTTAGGACCTGACTCAATAAGCTGATCATTCGGAATTGGTCGCAGCTATTATCGTTTGGCTAATATGGATAAAATAGTAAAAGCACAAAATCGATGGAAAGATCTATGCTCGGGGTGAGACTTATAGACAAAAAAACAACATGGATTAGAAGCAAAACCAAAGTAAAACACGCAGGAGAACATGCTCCCAAATTAACATGGAGCTTCGCAAGACACAGTATTTTCACGTATTTCTTTATATTTTGGTATTTTTTGATCAAAAATATGCTTGTGCCGTATATACCACAATATGCGCTGTCGTCCAAAACTCTCTTTAATATATATGGCACAATATGCGTTCTGAACAAATTATGTTGGGGGAACTAGCAGCCAGCTCCCAATACGTAGGCCTAAAAATGAATATGTAAAAAAACAAAAATAATGACAAACACAGAAGACCCCAGACATATAACTATAAACGGCAGTGAGATAGAACAAATCCAGGAATATATCTACCTAGGCCAAATCCTGAGACTTGACAAAGAGAACCAAAGTGCGGAAATTACTAGAAGAGCAAGACTAGCATGGGCAGGATTTGGAAAACTTAGTTGGATACTTAAGAACCGCAAAATACCCCAATACTTGAGGAGCAAAGTGTTCAACCAATGCATCCTTCCTATCATGACATATGGATGTCAAACCTGGACCCTAACCAAGGCAAACATGAATAAACTAGTCACAACAAAAAGAACAATGGAAAGAGCAATGTTAGGTATACGACTGTCAGATAAAAAGAAGAACGACTGGGTAAGATCCAAAACAAAAGTCGAGGACATAACAATAAAAATTGCAAAACTTAAATGGAGCTTCGCGGGCCACACTGCTAGACAGAAAGACTAACGTTGGAATACTACAATACAACATTGGAGACCTTACGAAAGTAAACGACCAAGAGAACGACCACAGATGAGATGGGTTGATGACATTAGAAGAATAGCCGGAACAAATTGGAAATATGTTGCTCAGGATAGAGACCGATGGAAGGAGTTGGGAGAGGCCTATGTCCAAACATGGACGACAGAATGCTAAGAAGAAGAAGAAAATGCATTCTGAACTAGGTATTATTATTTTTTTATTTTAGATAATGGATCCAAAAAATTTTATGGTGAAACTCTTGTGGTAGTGGACATACCAGATGGTAGTGAAGACGAAGGGCTATCAGATGATGATATTTCCCCTATTATATTAGCCCCAGAATCAGACTATGAAGATATATGAGTAATGAATCAGATATTATTATCTCACAAACGGTTTTAGAAAGCAGTTTCGTATAGCGAAGATGATACTTCATTGGACGAATTACGACGTAATCTAATAAAGAATAGAAATTAAAATCATCCAACTTGGAAAGAAGGTAATTTGGTAACATCAAATGATGTTACGGTTCTACTGACCTGCCACCTGAGTTGCAACAAGCGGATTCTTCTTACGCATTTAATTTTTTTTTTTAACAAATGAGAAGCTCAAAGATACAGTTTACCAAAATATATTATATTCAGTGGAAAAAAGTCCTCATAAACCTTTGAAACTTTCTGAAAATGAGGAAGAACAGTTCTTAGGAACCTGTATTTATATGTCAATAGTGCAATTGCCAAACGCTAGAAGTTATTGGAACTCCAGCCTGAATCATCGATTGATCTCAGATGTTATGTTATGCAATAGATGGGAAGAAATAAAACGTTTTTTTTACATTTTGCGAACAATAACGATGCTATTGCTGCCGGTAATCCTGGTCATAATAAACTTTTTAAAATCCGACCGCTACTAAATAAACTAAGGAATCAGTTACTCAAAGTTCCGAAAGAGGAACTTTTAGTCATAATTCCAACAAAGGCGCGTTCATCTATAAAACAATATAATCCGCAAAAACCCCACAAATAGGGATATCAGGCCTTTGTTCTTAGTGGTGTCAGCGGATTTTCCTACGATTGTGAAATTTTCGTAGGAAGCCAAACTAATAATGAACCCGATGGTTTTCCTGATTTAGGGGTAAGTTCAAATGTTTTTCGGCTAACACAAACAGTACCAAGACTTATAAATCACAAAATATTCTTTGATGATTGGTTCAACAGCGTCCTATTGCAAATTTATCTAACGAAACAGGGTATGTTACCACCAGGAACAGTTAGAATAGAAAAAAAACGGCCGAGGAACTATGGTAGAGAAAGTCGCCACAATTGATGGTACAAAAATATCTGTTGTATGACAATAAATTAGTAAACATTTTATCAACATATGCTAGGAGTATGCCAACAGTTGAAGCTAACGGTTTTCCAAAAAGGATAAAACACATATAATGGTTCCATGTCCAAAAGCTGTAACGATCTACAAGTATATGGAGATAGTAGATCTCCTGGATTCAAGGTTGGGATATTATAGAATCAAACTCAGATCCAAAAAATGGTACATGCGTATATTTTTCCATATTATGGATTTGATAACTGTCAATGCGTGGATTATTTGGAGAAGAAGTGACAATGAGCATAATAATTTAGCTCTGGCAGATTTCAAAATGGCCGTAGCAGTGTTTATGCAAAGTTAATAAAGCTGGTTTTACTACAAAATGGATCGCCGCGTGGAGCTATGGAAAATAAACAAAACAAGAAAAGAAGGGAAGATTTTCCAGCAACTGATATTCCAATGCAATATGTATGAACACATGGATGTGGTCATCTTCCATTATGGTGTAGTAAAAGGCAAAGATGCAAATATCCCTATAGTTCAAAAAGCTTCATAAAATGCGAGAAGTGTAATGTTTTTCTTTGCTTAAACAAAGATAATAAAAAAATTATGCAGTAAGAGGTTAACTAATTTAATTATAACTGTAGACAATACCAATGATGACAGTGATATAATGTGCGACAGTGATGTTGAATAGAGTTGTAAGTAAAAACTGAATTAATTTATTTTCGGTGTAAATTATCTAGCCGAATTCCGAGTCTGCTATACCTAGGTATTTCATGTATATATTTGTGAATATTGTACATCCTCGACATTCTGTATATGTACGATAAAATTGTGTGAATGAAATTTTGGTTATCCGTAATACCTTCCGCCCCCTTTACTTCTGATAACAGTGGTTCTACTATATTGATATCTCCTATAATGAAATATACCGGAAATAAATTATTACTATGTTCGGATTTTCGAATAAGAATTATTTCAGAAGTAAGTATGTGGCCAAATCAAGATAGTTTATAGATCATTTGGAAACCTCTTTAAGAGTGACAATTACTGTAAGATAATGTGTTTTCATCTGATTAGTATTCTTGAAAGATTTTGAATATGTGGAGAAACGGCAGTAAAATATGACATGTTATTTGTCAAACAATATTCAAGGAAAACTAATTGTAAGCAACAGAGTAAATATTATAAAAATTGCAGTATAGAAAAATAGTACTTAAGCAGATTGTAAAAAATATATATAAATAAATTGATAGATGAAAAGCAGAATTTTTCAACTTTGTTAAGATTTGGATATATGAAGCAACATGTTTTTATAACGAAATTCATTTAAAATTCAAAACTTAAAATTGAAAATATTAAAAACTTACCAACTTATGTTTCTTATGTAATTCTTCTGTGTACTTATGTACTTCTTTTGCCAGATCTGTCACTTTTTGTACAGTTTGCATATGCAGAACCGATAATCGCTCTGCTGATGTCTTCAATACTTGCCATAATGGGGCAAATGTACCTTGTACACAACAACTACCTGTTTGCTTAGCTAACTTACTAAGTAATTTTGAATTATTTTCTTCTATGTTTGACCTGTAATAGTTTTTGTCATATTAAAATTAATGGGAAAAAACCCCGTAATTGGCTGTTATACCATCGTTTAAAAAAACACAGAAGTTAAAACACTTCACAAATGTGTATTTAGGTATAAAACAAACAAGTTAAAACTTTTTAAAAAGTGTCGTCACATTTAAAGTTCTGGCAGAACGTTTTCGATCACTACGGATCATCTTCAGTGCCTAGTATTTGTTGCTAACTATATAAATATGGTGTCTATAAGACTTCCATGTTTGGGTTGGTAAAGTGTCACATTTTACATTATATAATGTTGATACTGTAGGTCGATAAATACATCCATTGTCATCGACCTACAGTATCAACATTATCTAATGTAAAATGTGACACTTTACCAACCCAAACATGGAAGTCTTATAGACACCATATTTATATAGTTAGCACAAATTACTAGGCACTGAAGATGATCCGTAGTGATCGAAAACGTTCTGCCAGAACTTTAAATGTGACGACACTTTTTTAAAAGTTTTAAACTTGTTTGTTTTATACCTAAATACACATTTGTGAAGTGTTTTAACTTCTGTGTTTTTTTTTGTCATATTATTTAATATATCTGATTTACATCATAAATGTGATGTAATTACATTAAAGTTGCAAATATGCTTTCAATTATTCTTTAAGATAATGGCTTCAATATAATAATCACGAAAATCTCTCTTTTGAACAGCATTGTGAGATTACAGGTATTTTACTAAATAAATCTAATGTGCAGCTTATTACTGTCTATTAATCTCCATATAGTGATTTAGACCAATTCTTTACCATTATGGCTAAAACTCTTAAAAAAATTAATGTTCATAAAACTGTTATAATTACGGGTGACTTTAATGTCCATTTTAATGAAACAGACATCAGAGTTTTTAAAACTTTGTAATTTTTTTAGATCTTACAATATTATAAAAAAAGTTAAATGTAATACTCGAGGTAATAGAATGCTTAATAATGTTTTCGCAAATATTGATATTACCACAAAACCTGTGGATCTCACCCACACATCTGACCACAGAGGTATTTTCTTTCATATAGCTTACTCATCCACAAATTGTGCAACCAGAGTTTGTTATAGACCTATCAAAGATGAATAACTCTTCAATTAGAACCGGATTTTGCTAAATTGAAACTTTAATTTTGTATACAATGATAATTTGGATATTAGTTTAAAATTTAAAATGCTAATTGATGTGTTATTACATTTCATAAATATATCTTTTCTAGAAAAATCGAAATTCAAAATCGAAATCGCTGAATAAAAATAATCCAGGTAAAAAAGTAAACTGGTTCAATGACACTTTGAAAAAAATGTGTGAGAGACTTAGGGAAGCCATCAGACTTGCAAAATTAATGCAAATGATAGGTTTATAAAACATTCTGGAACTCTCAACAAGCTATGTGAATAGAAAGAAAAAGCCAAACTGATTATTATTATTAGGATTACTATTATTAATATTAAGAAGGCTTTCTGATAGATTTAATTATAGGATAAATCAATTGTCCAATAATTGAACTCAAAAAATCGAACAAATAAAAAAAAACCAAAATTGTGCAACAGATGAAAGAAAAAAAAAGAGCAATCAAGGGAACAACAAAGTGAAAAATGTTGGTACAAGGAAATTTTAAAAGTGATAAGAAAGCTCAAACAATAAAAGACAACAGGCCCAGAATAACTAGAAAATCTTCAAATAATAAAAATTGGGGAAGAAGAACTAATACCCCTAGAATGGAAAACAGAATAGACCTTATTTCTAAGAGATTAGTAGAAAATTAGTTCTGTACACCAGAGGTAAAGGACACCATGTCCATTTTTTAGCGAAATTGAGTTAACTTTATGTCCTTGATGTACATTTTCTGCTCTACAAAATGGTATAAAAAACCATGTCCAACTACTAAAAATTGCAAAGATAGCCAATGAGAAATAACTTCATTTCCTGATTAATTCAGAGGTAAACAACACTATGTGGACATGATGCTGTAGATTTCTGAAAATTAAAAAAAGTTATAAAACATCATGTGGACATAGTGTTCTATAATACTGCAGCTATGTTCGATTCCATAGATTTGGCAACAAACTTCACCTATGACTATTGAAAATGTTGTTCAACATATTTCTTCTTTCCCATGCTACGAGTCATTACAGCAGAAAAAAAAACACATTTTAAATACTTGGCTTCAGAATTAAACAAAGAAAAAATGTACACTTTCTATCTACAGTTTTGTGAAGAAAAGCAAATAGCAAAACAATTTATATCTAATAAATGGGCCTATTATGATGTCTTTGATAAACAATTTAAGTTCATTTAAACCACCAAAGGTAGATACTTGTGACAACTGCGACTCTTTCCAGGCCAGGTTTAAAGATAACCATTTAAGTCAAATAAACAGAAACATACTTCAAGCTGAATATCAGTCACATTTGGCAGAATCAAAGCGACGGTACAACCTTAAAAGTGAAGATACAAAAATGTCTAGAAGCACTTCAACACATAAAGTTGTAACACCACTTGTAACAAATGGCATAAGTTTTTATAAACAGAAATTGTGGACACTAAATTACACTCTTTTTGATTCATCAGATAAAAGTGTTCACTGTATGATGTGGGATGAGAGTAAAGCTTGCCGAGGTGGAGAAGAAATCTCATCAGAAATTTTGAAGTGGGCTGACAGTGTAATCCCCACATCAGAGGTAATTGAAATTACGTTATGGTCAGATAACTGCTATCGTCAAAACAAAAAATATTTCAATTATTATGGGTTTCTTCTGGATCATGCACAAGTATCCTCAAATTAAATATGTAAATCTAAAATACCTTCTTAAGGGGCATACACATATGGAGGCTGATACAGTAAATGCTTAAGTGAAAGAAACGAAAAAACTGAATAAATGGCATAATATTAACCCCATGGGACTGGCAGCAGATGGTTTGCATGTGTTCAATCAATGTGACAGGAGACCATTGGTATTGTCTACTTAAAGTCATCATTTGATAGTGAGTTTACCACAGTTAACCTTAATAGATTGATGAGAAGTACAAGATTTCATAAAAATCTCTGAAGACTTTATAAAAATCTTCAGAAAACCAATGATAATAATGAAGACTATCCTGAGAACAATGATATTGATTCTGTAGAGAATTAAAACACTTTTGTTAAATAATATTTTGACTACTGAGTTTTGTTTCTTTTAGTAAATTTTCAAAAATTTATTTTTATTAGACAATAAGTCAAACTTTTTATTGTTTTTTGATAATAGGTCCACTTGAGTTTTTGTAGTGTTCAAGTTTGTACCCATTTTTTATTTGCAACCCATTAAGATTGTTCTTATTATTAATAAAAGATGTATGAATAAGTGTAGCGTTTTTGGTTTATTTGTTGTTATATACCATCAAAAACCATTAAAACAGTAGGTTGTCAAAATATGAATTCACAACTATGTCCAAAAAAATTTTTTGTAGCTAAAACAAAAAATTTTATTTTTGTAAAAATATCTTTATTTAATATGGAAAACCAAAGACGGTATGTTAAAACTTCAATAAGCTACATCTTTATATAAACAGAAGAATTAAAATAAATAAAAAAAAACCAAAAATGGCTTTCCTGAACATTTTTTATTTTTGTGACATGGTTTCCTTTAACTCCGGCGTACAGAGTTAGACAAAGCAACCATAGTATAACCCCTCTAGTAAGTGACATCACATGATACCAACACAAAATATTCATAGATATGTTCCATCTTAGAATATTTTAGCCAAGTACACTAGAACTACAGCCACTAGACATATTTTATTATATAAAAGTAGAAATAATATTTGAAAATGTCTATTAACGTAAACTTGAAGAAATGCACAAATTTGTATATCTGGATTCTGGTGACATTTTAGCATAAATTGGTAAAACTTATTTGACAGTGGAGTTTTTGTTTTTATTATTTACTATTAATTAAACTCTGTTCTCTTTAGAACAAAATTAGTGTGATTTAATTCCAAAATATCAGCACTGTGTGATTACTGACAACACTAACTGACAAAGAGAATAATGATACAACAGATAGCTTTGAAATGGAGACAAACAATCAAACAAAACAGTAAATACCACGACGAAAGAATAAGGAATATGAGAAGACATAAAACAGAGAGAGGCCATGAAAAAGCACTGTGGTATACAGCCATGAATGCTTTGAATTCCATTATATATATAATTAAAAAAGTTTTGAAGTGGAGACAAAACAAAAAGAAATGGCAAATACCAAGAAGAAGAAATACTGAATATAAGACAAAATACAAAAAAGGAATGAAAAAGCAATGAGGTCTACAGCCATGAATGCATTGAATCCCGTCATATATATATTTTAATCTATGGCTTCTGATCTGCACATTCCAAAGATCAAATGTATTTACAATTTGTTGTTTTGCACAAAATTTCCAAAAGTTTAATTAATATATATAATATTAATAATAATAATAGTGACTCTCTACAATAGCTGTGGCTATATTAAACTATGAAGACCTCAATAGTAATTTACTTTGATTAAAACTTATTAACCTGAAGCAGAATTATATGACTAATATATAAAGTATTTAAAGATATCTACATGAGTTAATTGAATAGCAAAACAAATTCATGTTAAACTGCAAATGACATAGATAGTGGTCAGTTTAAAACTGGAGGAATTTGATTTTGAATAAATATAATTACTAATATGTTAACCTTACCTTTCTCTTAAAAAATCAGTAAATTCTTTGCTGGCCACCAAGCCGTACTTCATGTTATGATATAGTACATCAAACCCATTATTTTTTTCACCCTAATCAGTTTAAAAGTATAATTTGATTAATACACATTCTGTATATGGTTACTTTCAAAAACTTACCCAAAAGTAGTCCTTAAATTCTAACGTCATTTTAAATATGTAATCATACCAATTTCTATTAAATAATTAAGACTCTTTACAAAGGGCACAAGAGTTCAACTTTTGATGTAAACAATTAATTTGACAATGTTATATTGTCAGTTCATAATCTATATAAACTACTTCTCAACCAAATCACTGTCTAATTATAAATAGTTTTCATTACCACAAACTAAAAACTGAAAATCTAGCACTACAATAACTAAAATTTGGAGTTGGAGCTAACTAGGACTTTTATCATTTTATTTTATAATGACACATGAAAAATAGGGGGCGGAACCACAAACCTCCTTCTTCTTCTTTTTTAGTGACATTTCCGTTAAGAGGAGATTTACTAGAACATTTTCTCTTTTTAGATACTATGTACAAATTTAATGTCATTTCATTTGTATTTCTTGTTAATTAATTTATATTTATGAAGTAAATAGCCTTTGTTGTGCATATTAAAATAAAAGTACATTTTAAGCCAAAATTTTGGTTAAGTTGCGCCAAATGTAGGCAACTGGAGGGTCTTCAACTATGTATGATTTATTCGCCATAGGATTTGATTTTACTTAGTTATTTTATTTTCTTATGTAGTACAACATGAAGACCAAAAACTATTAATGAAGCCTTTCAGATCAGTAAAAAGAATATAGATAAGCATGCAATATTGTATATATTCAATTCAACTTGACCATAAAGTCTATAAAATATTCTTCTTCTTTTGGTGCCTATTCGTTACGAATATTGGCGATCATTCTGAATAACAATTTCCTCAGGTTTTTTAACCATGATATTCTTGTTCTCCCAATTCCTCGCTTTCCGAATACTTTACCTTGAAGGATTATTTTCAGTAATCTGTATTTGGTGCCGTTTCTCATTATGTGTCTGAAATATTCTAACTTTCTCTTTTTAATCGTATATATCACTTCTCCTTTTCCCCATTCTTCGTAGTACAGTCTCGTTGGTTATCTTGTCCGTCCATGATATCCTTAGGATACTTCAAGTTTTTTCTCCATCGCTTCAGTGAGTATCTAGGATTCAACTCCGTAGTATAATATATAGATATAACATCGTAGGAGCCTTACTTTTATCTCCAGATTAAGGGTTGTGTCTTTTAAAGAGTTTGGCCATGTTGTTGAATGCACTCCTAGCATTCTCTATTCTACATTTTACTTCTTGTGAGTGATCCCATTGTTCGTTTACTATTGTTCCAAGATAGGTAAATTGTTTTACTCGGCCCACTCGTGTATTCTTGATAAGCAGTTGGACGTCTCTAATTTTCTATTTAATATTATCCAATCCTGGACTTATGTTATTTCGGTTTTTAATAGAATATTCTAGTTCTTTAAAATTAAAGGGTTCTAGATGAAAATGGTTTTGCTCATTTGAAATACCACTGTAACCTTTATGTAGTTGGAGTGATGGAGAAGCAATTTGGTCAAAAATTTCATCGACTAATGTATCGTTTATGACATGTTATATTGAGATAGGCTTTCTATTTATCTTTCTGGCTCGATTCCATAATGCTAAAGGAGTATTCTTGTTTAAGTCGGAGACAAAATTTTTCCAACTTTCTTTAGCTATTGCTTTTATTTTTTTAAATTTTTGCTATGATATCTTGACATTTCAAGTAATTTTCAAAGTTCAGGTTTTGTTTATGCGTGTATTCCACCAAGGCGGAGAAGTTTTCGATCAATTAGCCTTTCTTATATTCCATTTATTTTTAATAATAATTTCTTCAGGTAAATTAATGTTTTTAATCTCTATATATAGGTATATCATAAAATGATTTGATCCCAGAGTATCTGAGTATATACACCAATTAATTTTATTGACTAGATCTGCCGTAACAAATGTAACATCGATAGCTGACTTATTTAGATCTGGTTGGGTTTAAAATAGTAGGTTCTCTTCTCATTCAAGGTTCTATAAATCATTATAACTTGATCCCCAAATTGTATGATAAGCATTTAAATTTCCAATTATAATTAGTAGGCCACTTACCTGTGAGAATATGTTTGTCCATGCTGTGCTTTTAGATTTAGGTTTGTATATAGATAGAAAACTTAGTTTAATTGTTTAAAATTTAATTTTGACGCAACAGACTTCTATTTCGGTATTGAAGTTATAATTTAGTTTTAGTTCACTGAAGGAAATTGTACTGCGAATTAGAATAGCTACACCTCCAGAGCCATCGTCCCTATCTCTTCTAAGAGTATAACCATTAAAAGAATATTAAGACTATTTTTAACCACGTTTCACTAATGAACACAATATCGATTGTTTTATTGTTTAAATATTGCACTAAAATGCATTTATTTGAGATAATAGATCGAGCATTCCACTGACTCATTTTTAAAACATGTACGGCCATTAGGAGCTAGTATTGTTTGTTGCTTCTAAAACTTGTTCCAAACCAGTGATTATTGTCTTATCGTCTAACATATTTATATCTTCTATTCAACGAGTATTTTTTTAAATATTAATTATAAAAGTTGTTACACATTTTGTTAATTGGTTTTCTACATTTTGTTCATGTAGTAAAGGTTGGTATGTCCGAATGTAAAAGGGAAAAAAGCTTTATATGTATTGGAGATTTTGGTTTCGTTTTATTTACTGTGGACACAACTGAGCTAATTAATCAATTGGGAGACGTTAGAAAGTGATGTTTATATGTATCTGCGCCTGACTGAGTTAAAGCAGAATTTTTATTACTTTTTGGTAGTATAGGAAATTCTTGTTCATTATTTTCAAGTAAATAAAAAGGATTTTGATTTGTAAAACTAGAAAATGACTATTCAAAGAAATTTTTTGCTTCTAAAAAAGTAATTTTTTTTTCAATCATTACACTTTTAATCTTTGTTTGTTTTTCATAAAAAGGACACTTTTTCGATATTGTCAAATAATCATTTGACAATTTAGTTTGACCACACTGAATACATAACTCCTGGGAACTTTTGCACTGGTTTGAGACATGTCCAAATTTCAAACATTTATAGCATTGAACAATCCTACCAATAAATTGTTAGACAGGGAAATAAACCCTGACCAAAAGCTATAAAGTTGGGTAAAACATTACCCTCAGAATTTACAAATATAGTTTCTTTTTCTATATAGTCAATTTTATCTTCTCTTTGTACCCTATGCTTTGTCCTATAAATATGTATTAGAGGTGAAATCAACGTTTTCCCAGAGATAATTACTGTCATATTGAGTATCTGAATCCCTATCTAAGTCTAACAAATAGTTTAGTATGTAACATGCTTTTAAATTTTGATTTTTTAGTGATTCATTTTTAACAAAACCTTGAACGATTTCTACCAATACTTTTTATTTCTTTAATGTTTGTTAGGTTCAAAATTTTAAATATATATAGATATATGGCCTATCATGGGATGTAGTCTACCCAAGTTTTTCAATATATACCCAAATATTATATAAATTGTACTTATCTGAGACCAGGTTGAAACATTTAATATCCTTTTTATTTTCTATAGGCAGAGTAGCACTTCTATTATATTCACTTGTTTAAAAATTAGTATATTCCATCGCACAATTTTTAATGTCCTTTCGTCTAAAAGGACTTGTTCCCCCATTAAGGGGAAACAATTTAGTTTGTTTATTTAGAAATTCACTATTATACTATAAATCAACAGTTATTTCAATTTATTTATTCAGTAAGTTATTAAAAACACTATAAAATTAACTTTTTCGGAGGCTATTTTAGATTAGACTCTATTTGACGTAATTTATAAAAAATAAACAATATTCACTATAACGGAAAAAAATTTGTAATGACTGTTGATTTGTTATTAAAAAAAATTATGAGTTAAGATAAATTTAAATAAAAAAATATGTACTTACCTACAACCTAATAACAAAATTAGACTTTGAACCCAACTATTTATATTATTTTGTTTTGTTGAAAAGTAAGTTTAGTTAAAAGTATGCAAAAGTAGAATACAATGTCTTTAGTCATGTACAAAAAAGATTTAGGATTTTTTAAGGGACCACATATTTCCTAATAAGCTTCATAAATTTAAGATGCTAATTTTATCATGTTATAAATTACATAGGTACTATAAATTATAAGTTTACAGAATTCGTACCGGCACAGGTACTAGAAAAGAATCTAGCCGCAAATATCATTTTAAGAAAAGTCCAGAAATTAGTCATGGTCCAGTGGATCATGCTTTAAAAGACAAAACTAAAAATGGGTTATTTAATATGAAGGATAAAAGGGGAAGGCAGGTTCCTTAAATAAAACTAAAGATAAACTTGTACAGAAAGTTAAGGACCACATTGAGAGCTTTTCCGACTATAGGAAATCACACTATAAAAGTTCCAATAGGTTATATTTGGATCCCAATTTGTCCATCAGCAAAATGTTTGAGCTTTATATGGAACAGTGCAAAAGTCGAGCTCAAGCTCATGTTACTGAAGTCACTTATTGTAGAATTTTTAGAAGACATTATATGTCATTTTTTAATATTAAGAAAGACCAGTGTGAAATTTTTAACCAGTACAAGGACAAAATTATTGACGAAGATTATAAGTAACATCTACAAAGAATTAACGAAGCAGCGGAGGCAAAAAATCTGACAAACTTTGAGCAGCTGAAGAAAAAACATTTTTAAGTGCTTCGTTCAATTTATAAAGTATATTGTAAATACCATCCTCAGATGTGTCACAAACGTATTATTCTCATCTATGAAGCGATACCCCAAATAATGCACACTGTATGCATGGGCACATCTTATTGGTTAACGTGACAGCTCCGAAATTGGAACAGCATTGATAAAGTTAATAAAAACTGTACCAAAAGGTATCACAGAGATCAATGTCAGTTTCATTGCCGTATTATTTTTGTATTTTGTAACACATAACCACATTGAGATTTTGCAGCGTAATTTTATGGAGAAAAGATATTCGTACATGGAAGTAGACTCAATGTACAGTGCTATTGAGAATGCCAAGAAAAATGTTGCCATTTTTACAATGAACGA